GACTGAAGATCCTCTTTTTCGATCAGTGGTGCCCTTTGTGGGTTTTCACGATCTGATCTCTCTTATTTCTCTTCTCACCATCGCCTTGTAGTGCTCTTTGCCAGTTTTTACTAACAAGACTCTCTCATTTTAGTTTCTCTACTTACCATCGTTTTACAGTGGCCGTGAGGGTTTAAACTCATAAGACTCTCATTTTATTTCTCTCATTTTGATTGTATCAAATACAAGCGATTGTATCCTCCAATTCTTTAAACATTCTTGTCGATTGATCGGAAGGACTTGAAAAGGATTTGAGTAAAAAGAATTTGGACTGAATTACAACTTTGGAACCCTTCAGGCGAAACCGTCGTTGAACCATTATAACAGCTGCCCCAGTTTCACTTTTGGGGAATTTGAATTTTTATTTTGGTGAGACTGAATCCCAGTGAGAGGCTGACTACGTATCCTTTCGGAATCAAGTCAAACGTAGTTCAGGCACTTTGTTTTTATTTTTTTTTGTTTTTCTGTTTTGTTTTGTTTTCTCTTTCTTTTTCCTTTCCTTTTCCTCTCTTTTTTTTCATTTTTCATTTCATTTTCTTTGTCTTTTCTTCCCCTTTTTTGTATCTTTCTTTGCTTTTCTTTTTTCTTTTTTCTTTTCTTTTCATTTTTTATTTGATTTTTTCAATTTTTTTATTTTCAATAACATTTTCAGGTTCCAAAGAGGGTAATCAAAGAAGAGTAACCGGCTCAAATGGTTTACAAAAGGGTAAACGGTGTTTGAATAGTGAGAAAGAAAGCCTTCATTCCAATCGAAGTATTAATGTTGTATAGAGGATCAAACACAGTACCTTTTGACTGCACCTATATTGATAGTTTTTTATGGGACACTTCCTTCGACGTTTCCCAGGTACAACACTCTCTTTTGGTAGCACTCTCGTTGCAATGTATGGACCTATCAGATCTGGAACCAATTTTCCTTCAGCTGTTCCAACTCTTTGTTTTATTTCCTTAAACTTATCTTCATTGCGATCTAATTCTTGATTCATTATTTTGAGGTCTAATAGTGTTTTAGGATCTGGGCTTGAAGTCCGCAAGCATGTCATGTTATTGAAATCTGCATTTAACATAACTGAAAAGAGAATAAGAAAAGTGACAAGATTAAGAAAAGAGAAATTCCTGGACGATGAAATATTAATTTCATTTGATTTTTTTTCAATTTTGATGATTTTTTTTAATTATAAAAATAGAAGGGTTTATATTGAAAAGTAAGACAATAAAGTAAAACATCTGGATCACATCCTGAAATAATCCGAACACAGAAAGGATAGCAAGACTGGCTATCGAGACTCATGTCTGATTGGGAACTTTCAGGCTTGGAGACCGTTTTTGGCTTTTCTTCTATCTCGGTAATGGCTTCAATGGCCTTCAGTACTGGATTGAATTCCTCATTGTAAGCAGGCAACGGATTGTTCGTCACATCAGGAACCTCTTCGTCCCGAAGAACGATTCTTTCAGCTTCGATCAAATCTTCAGTTGTCCTTTTGAGGGTCCAACAGTCCTTTGTACTGTGTCCCACTGCTCCAGAGTGTTATTCACATCTAGCATCAACTCGGTGCGAGGGGGATTCAGGGTTTGTCTGGTTTGGGGCCACTGGCTGCAGCAAACCTCGTCTGACTAGCTTTTGGAAGCCCGAGTATGATTCACCAATAGGGGTGAACTGATTCCTTTTGAAAGGCTCTCTTGAGCAAGAATTGTACTGGGGAACATTTGATTGGGGATTATATGGATCTTGGTAAGGATGGTAATTTCTGGGATTTGGAGCTTGGTTTTATGTATAATGTTGTGGACGCATGCAAGGTTGCACGTTCATCACCGCATACCAACAAAGCCAACCACCTGAACAGAACCTGACTAATTTGCTCACATAACAACCTTGTTAGTTTTGAGACATTTAACATATAGGAAATCGCACGCTTGGATGCAATACATCTAACAGTTAAACGCTTCTACCATGTGTTGAACAGTTGCATGTTTCATCTCGGTGTTAACTAACCTTTTCAGTATGTACCTCTTTTCTTTTATTTCTGCCTCTCTTTAATCACTCTTGATTTTTTTTCATTTCGTTTCTGTCTTTCTTTTATTTTTTGGCACACTCTTTTCTTCTTCTTTTTTTTTTTTTGTTTTTGTCGCTCTTTTATTTTTTGTCACTCTTTTTTTTTCTTTTTCTATTTCTTTTTTTCTCTTTTTTCACTCTTTTCTTTTCTTTTTCACTCACTTTTTCTTTTTCTTTTTTCAGTTTATTTTTCACTCAATTAATTTTATGGCTATGATCGAATCCAATGGGGATTGCTTATGTATCATGACGCCGCATGAATAAGATCTTGCGTAGTTCGAAAAGATCGAGAACGGAGTAAATAAGCTAACTCTTTTTTTTACTATTTATAAAACTCAGACCATGAAAGCTTTAAGGCAAAAGAAAAATATTTTTTTGAGTTTTGATTTTTTTTTTTTTTTGTATTTGTTTTGGAATTTTTGTAAAAATGCTTTAAAAGAAGAAAGGAAATATTTTTTTGGATTTTGATTTTAATTTTTTGAATTTTTGGTTTTTTTTTTAAAAAATTTTTGAAAGAAAGACTTCTAAAGAAGAAGAAAAATTACTTCTAAAAGAAAGAAAATATTTTTGGATTTTGGATGTTGCCTCTTAATTTTCGAAAGAGGGACTTGAAAAAAAATATTTCGGATTTCTGATTTATTTATTTTTGAATTTTCTAAGGAAATGCTTCTAAAGAAGGAATTTAAGGAAAATATTTTTGGATTTTTAAAAATTGGGGCCGGAACCGATGAGGATTGCCTACGTAACTCACATCCGATGAGAATCAGACTCGCGTAGTTTGGTCAGTTTTGACGCAACAGGAAAGCATGACTTTTTGAAACTATTAACTTATTTTCCTTTTTTCAAAATTTCGACAGAGTTTCAAAATTTTTCTAATACCTACCTATCGCTCTTGTTTTTTTTATTTTCTCATCTTCTTTTTTTTTAATTTTCTTTTCCTATTTTAGAAGCCGGTCAACATGCAAGCCGAGACAAACAGATGCACAGGTAGCACGTAAAATGCATCAGGATGCACTTTTTATTTCGGGGACACCTGTCTTAGACGGACCCAATCCCTGTGTTGCGTCCCCAAAGTCAAATGCACGTGATACAAACAAACGTTCCTACTAGGGATCCGGCATGAGGCTGTGTTATTCTATGTTTAAAACCTGGGTATATTGTTCTAGACCTGGCTTACCCGAGCGGACAACTGAGCCGAAGGGGGCAGCATACCGGTAACCAAAGGATCATCTAGCTTTGCAACTTGTCCGAACCTCGTTCTAAATTAAGGATATGACACTAATAGAAAAGAAGTCATGCCAGCATGCACTTCGTAGAAGATTTAGAAGACTCAGAGAAAAGAAGGGTTTTGTAACAGTTTATATATAGATCAAACAATATCAAAGCGGTAAAAAGCGACATTTAGCATATTAGGCCCAAACAAGTAAAAATCAGATAATAAACGAAAGCCAAGTATAACAGTTTATTGTAAGCTCGAATTCTTGAATCTTGAACTAGAGATTCTGGGTTCGATCTCCAGCAAAGTTGCCAGAGCTGTCAGACCTCCTTTTTACCCGAGGGGGATAGGGATTTTTTCCAATTGAAGTGACATAAATCGAAATGGGATTATTTATTTAAATTCAGAGTCGCCACTTGGAATAATTTATGGTGTCCCAAGTCACCGGTTTATTTTAAATCCCAAATCGAAGAAAATTGACTCTATTTTTTGTCCGCGAACACAGAAGACCGGGTATGGAATTTTGTTAACCCGGAATAAGGTGTTAGGCATTCCCGGGTTCTGTGGTTTTAGCATGGTCGCTCAACTATTACTAATTGGCCTAATTATCTGATTTATTACATGTTTTAAACCTATTGTGCATTTTTAACTTTTATAATCACTTTTATTTATTTATGGAGTTATTTCTGGAATAAGTCACGATTGTCGTACACTTGTCGTTTTGGTACACATTGCAAACCACGTCATGGGAACCGTACCCACGATCTACAACATGTTTATTTTTTAATATTCGATGTTGTGGTCGGGTCACATGAAATGTGCACTCAAAATTGGAAATTATGTATCACGACCATGCGACGAGAACCGTACCCATAGCCGTGATGATTCATTATTAATCGTGCCTAAAGAAAACTACGATATTCGAGAATTGTTTATTTCCTCTGTTTGAGATTGTTGTGAGGCCATTGATCATGGAATTTAACAGGGATAAGGAAAGGATTTTACCGAAAGGAACTAAGGTAGTTAGCCAAAGTCTATTGACTATGAAGTTATATGAATTGGGCCGAAATATGCAAGTGGTTCCATTAAGTTTTCCTAGCTCATTTCATGTTCAAATTTGTGGTACTAACTTGTTGTTCTCAAACGACAACAATGTTAAAATCCTAGGACCTTTTAGTTCACTAGAATGTTTACAAATTTAAGAATCAAAATAAGACACTATAATGAACGGAGCTTAATTAATAGGAATCAAACCATTTAAAGAGTCACTATGGTAATAATTCAAGTGATTATCACAACTATATTCATATTACAATGACTATTTTCAAACCCCAACTTTCAATATCAAACTATAGCTACAATTTCTAGTAAATTTGAAAATTAAAATATGCTTCCACGGAAACTTCATTAAATAACAGAATCACAGAAAAAGAGGGAGAGTTATGCCAATCTGCTACAATTAAATGAAGATTCGACCAATTCTCAACTAAAAAAAATATAATTAAACTTATATGATTGGATAACCCAATGCAACATTCTTAGCAGGAGAATAGGGACCAAATTAATTCAAAGAGGCATCATGCTTCATGAAAATAACACAGAAAACAGAAATCAAAAAATCCTCAAAACTAGGCATGAACTCAACTGTTTAATCATTTACTAAAGCATAATATAGAGGAGTTTCAAACTAACCTGGGCAAATAAAGAAAAACTTGAACAAACCAACTAAAGAGCAGAAGCCAACCCAAATGGAACTCAGCAAAACGTAGAAGCAACAAATTCAACAACCTTCGGCAACCTTTAAAACCAAAAAAAAAAAATCGTTCCCCAAAGCTTGTTTTCAGATCTTTTTTTTTTTGAGTTTTTGAATTTTTGAAAGTTTTTTGTTTCTAGCTCTAAGCTGAGTGCTTCTCGTGTGCGAGCCTTTAGCTGCGTGTGTATCGACTGATTTTTAGAAGAGAAAGAGTAAGGTTTGTCCGATTTTTGGAGAAGATGAATTGGGTGGCAAAGTTTTTCGTACGGGAGAAGAGTTTTTCTCTGTTTTTTATCTGAGTGACGGAGGGAGAGTCGCTGGTTTCTAAAAATGGGGAAGGGTTCTCTTTTGGAGATGGTGGAAAAACGCCTCTAGGGTTGGGGAAAATCTGATATGTTCTGTTCCTTCCTCCTATAGGATTTTGGAGAGTGAGTCTTTAAGGAAAGGGGGTCTGGTTGGTAATGGGCTGGTGGGTCGGGCAGGCGAAATTGGAGCAAAAGTTGGGCTGCTGGAGATGGCCCAATTCGGCATGATCCTTTTCCTTTCTTTCTTTATTTTCTCTTTTTTTGCAAAATTAGCCATTTTTAGGCTCAAAATTTAATTTAAATCCCATTTTTTGCATAATTAACTTATTCAATCTAATTTACCTAATCCTAAATTATCATTGCAAAATGTTATGCAAGAAATATCTAAAGTATTTTTGGAAGTTTATATTTTAGTAATGCAATTAATATGCAACTAGATGCTAACAATGCAATTAAAGTCTAAAATGTAACAGATGAAGAATTAAATATTTTATGATTTTCTATAGTTTATAACAACTCTGAATATGCATGAACAATGCAAATAAATGCAAGAAAAAGTCCTAAAATTCTATAAAAGTGATTAAAATTATTTTTTGACTTTTTAGGAGTAATTTCCTATGTCGGGCAAAAATTAGGTGCTCACAAGTGTTTTGTTACTGAGGAACAGGTTCATGGACATGTTCCCTCAAGGTTTGAGGATCAGTTCTTCTTTGTTCAGTTCCCCCTGTCAAGTTGCCCTAGGTAGAAGAACAACCTGTTCCATCACTTGTTCCTTCCTCTGGTGCAGCTTCAGTTTGGGCTATGGTTTCATTTGAGTTTCTTACCAGACCGCTTGGTTCATCTTCATGTTCCTGCCTCTCGGAAAGAATGTTAATTTTATCAAGAACCATGTGTACACTTTCTTTTATACACATAGTTCTTTTGTTATAGCTCTTATAAGCGTTACTATGTGAAGAATATCCCAAGAATACTCCCTCATTACTTCTGGGATCAAACTTGCCCAGCGAGTCTTTATCATTATTGTGCACACAGCACTTGCATCCAAATGCCCTAATATGGAATATATTTGGCTTTCTCTCTTTAAGTAATTCATAGGGAGTATTCTTGGCAAGAGGTCTGGTCATGCACCTATTTCTGATGTAACATGCAGTGTTCATAGCTTATGCCCAGAAACTATGGGACAGTGTACTAGAAAGAAGCATAGTCTTAGCCATTTCTTCGAATGTCCTATTCTTTATTTCAACTACTCCATTTTGTTGTGGAGTCCTAGGAGCAGAAAAATTGTGATCTATGCCATGCTCATCACAAAATTCAGCAAATTTAGAATTTTCAAATTCAGTACCATGATCAAACCTAATTGATGCAAGTTGATTACCTAGTTGTTTTTGAGTTTTTATAACAAAAGAAGTGAACATGTCAAATGTTTCATCTTTAGATGTTAGAAACAATGTCCAGGTAAACCTAGAGTAATCATCAACAAGCACCATAACATATCTCTTACCACTTCTGCTCAATGTTCTCATTGGTCTACAAAGATCCATATGGACCAATTCTATTGTTTTGGCGGTACTTACCATTTTCTTACTTTTGAAAGAGGATCTTACCTGCTTCTCCTTTGTACAAGACTCACAAACTTTATCTTCCTTGAACTTAATGTTAGGCAGTCCTATCACCAAGTCCTTGGAGACTATTTTATTGAGTTGGCTTAGACTGGCATATCCAAGTCTTTTGTGCCAAAGGAGGAGATCATTATCCAATACACTTAAACAAGTGATTTCATTTTTTGAGAGTGTTGACAGATCCACAATATATATGTTGTTCACTCTTTTTCCCTTCAAAACTATCTTGTCAGTGATAAGATTAATCACAAAGCATTTTTTAGAGGTGAATGCAACCATGTTACCTCTATCATACAATTTTGATACACTTATTAGATTGTAATTCAGTCCATCAATCAGGTAGACATTTTCAATAGAGTGAGAGTCGGTCTTACCTACCTTGCCAATCTCAATGATCTCACCTTTCTTCCCATTTCCGAAGGGGGCATTACTTCCCTTAATGTCCTCAATTGAAAGGAACTGGTTCTTGCTTCCTGTTATATGATTTGAGCATCCGTTATCCATGTACCATATTTGGCTGCTTCCCTTCACTTTCCTACAAAAGGAAATCAAGGGTTAGCCTTAGAACCAAAACTAGTTTGGATCCCTTTCTATAGGCAAAAGGATGAATTAATTTTGTTTTAGCCTAGTGTGGTAGCCTATTTTTTCCTTGAACAAATTCTTTGTTCTTTTGACTAGCCTTTTTTTTTTGCAGTGCATTCACTTTTATAGTGATCAATTTTACCACAGTGTGTTCAAATTTTATTCTCAGGAAGTGTAACATACTTGCTTTTGGGATCCCACTTAGGTGAAGGGTTCCCAAAGCTAAGTCCTCTCTTGTTGCTATTATGGTGTTCATGTAGCCATAAAAGTGCATTGGATGACCTGTTTCATTTAAAAGTTCTGTCTAGCCCATGCTTGGCCTTTCTTAGATCCTCTTTTAGTATTCTTATCTGCTCATCCTCTTTTATACAACTCATCTTTCATTTTTCCTATACTTTCTTCTAAAGTGAGTTGTGTGCGATCAACTATCTTTTTACCTGTTCCTAATTTCAATTTTAGATTTTCAGATCTAAGTTCTAGGACAGTTGTGTCAAGTTCATGAACCTGGTTCTTCAACACAGCATTTTCACTTCCAGTTAATTCACTAGCCCTATGTTCCAGGTTTTGCACTTAGCTTTTAAAACTATACACTCTTTTGATAGTTGTTCTTTTTTATTGTTTACATCCTCAGATTCATCAATTAGCTCTAGGAGCAACTCAGATAACCTTTCCTTAGACAAAATTTAATCTGGTCTTTGAGATGAGAAACATTTAACTCAGCTTCTTCATCATATTCTCCAATAGCTATAAGTGCTCATTCATCATCATCGTCATCATCTGAGCTTTCATCTAAGCTATCTCCCCAAGCAGCGACCATAGTCTTTGTTGATCCTTTGTTGTTGCTTTTCTTGGGTTGAACCTGTTCCTTCTTCCTGTTCCTTTGTTCAGCTCTTTCCTTCTTACACTCAATTTCCCACAAAGAACAGTTCTTGATGTGATGATCAGTCTTTCCACACTTGTAGCAACCATCATTGCTTTATTTCTCAGGAGCTTTTGATTTATTGTAGCTACTACTTCTTGAAGAACCCTTTCCCCTCCTTAGGTACTTCTTGAAGTCTATGGTGCTCATGGCCATTTCATCATCTTCTAGATCAGAACCTTCAGTGATTCTGAGAGCCAAACTCCTTTCCTTCTTAGGTATATCCATCTTCATGGTCTGTCTCCTAATTTCATAGGCAGTAAGATTTCCAGTCAATTCATCCAGTGGGAGAGTGGCAATATTCTTTGATTTCTTGATGACAATGATTATGCTCTCCCAAGTGATGGGCAAAACTCTAGTCAATATCTTTTCGACCCTTTCTTCTTCAGGAATAATCCTTCCAAGAGATTTCAGCTCATTTATCAGTGTAGTGAACCTAATGTACATTTCTTGAATGATTTCTCTTTCATTCATAGCAAAGCTCTCATATTGAGAGTATAGTAGAGTTCATCTGGATCTCCTCACCTGAGGTGTTCCTTTATGAGCCACTTGCAGTGTGTCCCATATTTTCTTTACAGTGGTATAGCCTTGGATTCTGCTGTACCCATATGGACCAAGTCCATAAATAAGCCATTTCTTGGCTTTAGCATTCTTCTCCCACTTCTTCAAGTCCTCAACAGTGCAATAAGCTCTTGTTTCTGTCATATCTACTCCTTCAGCATTTTTCTTCAAGGTAGCCAATGGTCCATCGGTGACAATATCCCATAGCTCATAATCCTCTCCTATAATGCGATCTCTTATCCTATTGTTCCACCAAGAGTAGTACTAGCCATTAAAGAGTGGTGGACTAGTAGTGAATTGCCTTTCCCAGTTTTCAAGTGGTGTACTCATGTTGATCTTTTCCTAATGTGTAATCCTCTTCAAGGATAACCCGCTCTAATATCAATTGATATTTTATACTTAAATGCCACACAAGAGGGGGAGGGGGTGATTTGAGTGGTATATAATTTTCACGTGCACAGATTGTAGAAGGACTCGGTTCTTCCATGTGCTCCTTAAACTACTATTGCGGAAATAATAAATGCGGAAAGTAAAGAACACAAGTATTTTTACATGGAAAATACCCAGATCAAAAGGTTAAAAAACCACGACCTTCTACTCAGTAGGATTTTTCCCAACATTTCACTAAATTACGGAGCCAAAATAGCATGTACAAAAACTCTTTGTAAACCTAAGGATTACCTCTAATCCCGTTGTAGCAACCAGTCTCTAACTGTTGCGATAACTTCAAGTTAACTCTAACTTGAATATTCAGAGTACCTAATACAATTGCTTCTAGATAAAGCTGAAAGGTACAATTTGAAAACCACCTACTACAATGAAACTAGAATAAAAGACACACACTTGGAACTTATTCTTCTATTTGGTTCGTGTAGCTTCAGGTTCGCACACTTGAATCACACAATAATTGCTTGCAAAATGCCTTGCTATTTTGCTCTCAACTCACGTTTAATTTCAGATTTTATACGTACCAGTAAAGTGAGAACATCCTGCAATTTATAGAGTTAGTAGAATATGAAATAACTAGAGTTCCAATGCTATACTCTTCCTTGGTAGAAGAGTTCTAGTTAACTTCTACTTCTAACTCCTTCCTTATCTTGGATAGTGTTCTCTTTGAGTAAGGAGTCTTTCTCCTTATCAATTATACAACTTTTTTGATCAGGAGATATCAGATATAACAACTTAAGCTTTTCTTCCTAACGCGCATCCCTTATGTTTGAATCTACCTGTGTCTGTGTACACTGTGGATGGACTTGGTTCATGCTTAAGTTCCTTTGTCAATAATCAAAACAAACTTCACTTGGGCCAACATAAGGTTTACCATAAAAAAACTTGCCAAGAACCGCGTATTGTAGGTTTTGGCTGATGATAGACTGTTGCACCTCATGTTTCTTGCACTATACAATGGGATCGCCTTGAGGATATTCGATAGGTCGTATAAGGATCGTGGGTAAGATTTGTATGGGATCAGTGACTGATTTTAGTAAAAGACATAATTTTGGTTAGTATTTGGATTGGAGATAAGGTTAAGTGGGGTGTATGGATGGTAACAGGGGGTCCAGCCATGGAAAACGGCTGGCCGCTGGCTATATTGGCCATGCCTGATGTACTCTCTCGTTTGCCCTACGAGTCGCCAAAAAATTGCCTTAGAAGCTTTTTCTCAATGTATGTGACAATATTTGATTGGACAGAAAATTTAAGAAAGAAAGGAAATTTTTAAAAATTATGGTCTAAAGTAAACCGTAGATATTGTGTGGCACATAAATTGGGACGGAGGAAGTATGTGAGTTCAAATCTCACTGTCTCGTTTTCCTACCATCTCCAATATACTCCATACTTATTATACCTTCTTATCGTATACTTCCACTATACTAAATTATAAACCCCACCCTAATTGCATATTTAAAAATATACTCCGTCCGTCTCAAATATTTTGTCGTAATTTCTAAAATAATTGTCTCAAATTATTTGTTATTTTAGAAGTTCATAGACAAAATTAATTAATTTTTTTCATTTACCCTTGATAGTAAGTGTTATTGAAGATGGAGATAGCACATGTATAGAGTAAATACTCATCTACGAGAGATTATATATTAAGACAAATAAGGGTAAAATAACTAAAACTCTTTCAAATTAATATTTTCTTAAAAGACATATTATAAAGAAATATGACAGATAAAGTAAGACGGACGGAGCCTATATTTTCATCATTGTTGAGGTGCTATTCAGAGCAAAAAGTAAGAAAAGGTTGATTTTGCGGTATAAAATCCCCATATTAATTGTTTGGAAGTTTGGTATTTTCACTTTCTTTAAGAGTAAAGAGAGCATTTTGATTCCTTAATAGTAGAAGTCATGAAGCAGAAGTTTAGTGGAGGTAGCTTTATCCCTAGGAAAGGAAGATACTTAAACCTTACCCAACAATTAAAGCCAAGTACCTCAAAACAAGAACCTAGCTACCACCTCCTCCTCATACCTTCTAAAAAACCTCCTCCATCTGGAAAAAAACAAAAACCCCTTTGAACTCCTCCGGATGTTGTCACTCTCTGGCTACCTATCACCTCTATCAATCAGCGCCCTACTTGTCGAGCAGGAACCGGCCTTAGTGATTTGACGGTGCTAAGTGAAAGGACTGTCGTTCAACTAATAAAAGTTACCATTTCCAATGCCAAAGCCAGTTCTAGGACCAGAACGACGCACCAATCCGTTAATTTGGTGTGCAGCCATAATCTGCACCATCTTAACCGTAGCCGTTATCATCACTGGCATGGTCGTCTTCATTGGCTACATGGTCATTCGACCAAAAGTCCCTCAAATGAGCGTAGCAAGTGCCAATTTAGATAGATTTTCCTATGACATGGCCAGTGTTCTCACTCTCAGAGTCTCAATTATTATCAAAGCNATCTTAACCGTAGCCGTAATCATCACTGGCATGGTCGTCTTCATTGGCTACATGGTCATTCGACCAAAAGTCCCTCAAATGAGTGTAGCAAGTGCCAATTTAGATAGATTTTCCTATGACATGGCCAGTGTTCTCACTCTCAGAGTCTCAATTATTATCAAAGCTGAGAATGACAATTCAAGAGCCCATGCAAGTTTCTATGAGACGAGTTACACACTTAGCTTCCATGGTGTTAAAGTGGCTTATTTAAATGCTGACCCTTTTGATGTCCCTGCAAACAGCTCCAAGTATATGTATTATCCTGTTGAATCATCGTCGATTCCATTGACGCCGGAAGAAGGAGAGGTTGCTGAGCTTTTCTTAAGGCGGAATCAAGTGGTTTTTGATATAAGAGGGAATACAAGAACAAGGTGGAGAGTAGGGTTGCTTGGTTCTGTTAAGTTCTGGTTGCATCTTAATTGTCAGCTCAAGTTTCCGTTAAATGGAACTACAATATACCCGAGATGCAGCACGAAATCCAAATGATTCACTGGAATTCAACTAGGTATTTTGTCTAATTATTCACTTAGATTCAATTTTATGGAAAAATAAGCTAAGGCTTGTCCTTCTCCTCGATCTTGATTTGCTTACCTTTTTTTGTACTCACAAGATATCCTTTTTTCTGGATACAATTAGATTCTTGGAAGAAGTAATCATCAATATTCTGCCTCGACCTCGAGAAAACAATACAATATGCTCTATCCAACTGTCTACAACTTACTTTTTATATTCACTACTTGTTTCTTCTTTAGAAAGGATTAACAACGTAACAGATGTTTAACTATGTCTTTTAAATTTTTTTACACATTATTTAATTAAGAAATATATTAATACTCTAAATCATATAAGTATTTGTTTAGATTATGTCTGTTTTCTACTTTGAACATGTCATACAGTTGACACATTATTGGAGCAGTAAGAGCAAAGTTAAAAGACAAAAATAAATGACTTCAGATTTTTTTTAAAAAAATATAAAATATTTTCATACAAATAATAGAACTACTGTAGTATTTAGACCAACAAGTAGTACCTAGATTATATCTTCAATAATCAAATTGAAAATCTACTTTTATATTCCAATGATAAAAAAAAAAGTGAAAAAAGGAAGATCTCACCTTAATCAAGAAGTAAGAAAATATTTTGAAGTTTGCTACGTAATAGACACCTTTTTGGTATGTATAATAGAAAAAAAAAAGTGACACTACGGAGAAAGAAGCAGTAGAAAGCCACAGCAAAGCATTGTGCGGAAGCTTTCTGCCTACGTTGTCCGGAAGCAACTAAAAGCGAAAACATCAGTGGCCCATGTTGGTCTCGCCTTAACCGTTAAGTAATTTGGATTCATGCTATATATATATATATATATATATATGATGCAATAAGTGGAAAGGGTTCGCTATCAATGCCTACCATGGGTTTCTCCATTCCAAAGCTCCAAGAGGCAATGACGGAGTCAGAAACGTAAGGAGATTAAAAAAATTAAATTGATATACCTATGATTTAAAGTTATGGCCTGAAATTTAATGAACCCGATTATTACTATGCGAAAAGCTTCTCTTATGTCAAAGAGATTCAGTAGTTTACATATAATTAATATTCCCCCTATTACCACAATTTAATTTAGGATTTAATTGAACTTCCTTAATTCTATATAGATTAAATTAGCTTTAGGAGTGTTAAAATTTGACTGCCTTGGTGCCAGATTCAATTTGATTAAATTTGCCTTAGGAGTTGTCATTTAATTCATCTAAAATACTTTGCCAGATAAATTGAGTTGTATAAATTGAGGAGCCCTTGTTTTGTCCAAAGACAAATTTCGTTAATCAAACCTGGAACACTGCAGTATTTCGTCGCTCTACCATCCGAGTTGGGCTAATTCGACCAAAAAAATTGTCGTTGAAAACTCGTTGAGATTTGGTGTAAGCATATAAGAGATTTGGTGCAGATTATATTAATCGTATCTGATAAATAATCCACCCAACAAGATTTTCTTTCTTAAAAATTAATCTCAAACTATTAAAGTTGAATACTAATATTCTACATTCAGTATTATCATCTATTTATCAGTTGTTGTTTCTTGTGCTATTTTGACAACATTCTCTTATATAGATTGATTGGGAGAATGATACATTCAGGTGGCATTTTTTCATTAACCCCTTCAAAGTTTGGAGAATGACACATGCAGAGAGCAACTTTTTCCTTTTTGAAGTTTCTAATAAATTTAACTTTTCAAATCGAACGAACTCAATATTCCCAGATTTGAAGCCGATACATTGTATACACTTCATTATTGTTAGAAAAGGTAACTAATATTACTGTAATGGTACTTTTTTATGTACTTTTAAAATACGTAATCTGATTTTGAAAGAGTGAAGCCAGATGTCAGAAATCAAATTGAAGTTTATTTGACAGTGGAAGTATTTGGCCAATTCTAATATTCATTATTTGTTTTGGGACAGAGGAAAGAAAAAAAGAGAAATGCAAGTCAGTTTCCAGCAAAAAGAAAAAGGGGGGAAAAGAGGAGAGAAAATGATTTTCTTTTAGACAAGTTTATTTTTCGACTTTTTCTTTTATTTCGTGTCCATTTTTCGACCTTAAGAAGAGAAAGTTCTGTTAGTTTTCCTGCTTTACTTTTCCAAATAAAGCAGTGCGCCTGCCTAATTATACCTACTTTTAATTTTCTTGTCTTACTATACATACTTTACCATTTAAATTTGCACGAAATTCTTTTACACATATTTTCTTTACAAGTATTCTTTTACGTATTTATCTATCATTTTTTTAACAAAAACCTCCGCAAAAGGCCACGTAGTGCATCTATTGTTAGTAAACTGTATTTGTAAAATAATTCTGAAAATATAAATGAACATAAACAGAAATGAACATAAATAGAAGTGAACAACGAAATAACGGAAAACCAATTCGAGCATATTAAATTCACATTGTTTCATTAAGGAATTTAATCCCCTTCTAGTACCCAAGGTTATGGATTATTTCCTTCCAGGATAGAACGAATTACACACTGGTGTAGTGGTACTTCAAACCCCAGTGTTTCAGCGAACACAAAGTTCGGTAGCAAATCACACTTACTGTTGCTTTGTTTGATATTTAAACTATGCAGAAGAAGGAGGAGGAGAAACTCAGAAAATCGTAGTGAAATTCCGAGCAGAATAGTGTTGTATTTATAGCCAAAGTTGGGCTGAAATCTAAAGAGGTGCAACTCTTCAGAATTGTTATTTCTGCAAAACGGCCACAGCATAAATGTCATTACATAAATGACTATTTACTCAACAATAAAGAGGAAAAATTGAAGAGGGTAGTTAATTTTCTGTTACCAAGACAGAAAAACGGATTGGATTTAATATTAATATTCTGTTATTAAAATAAATATTTAATAATATTTCTGTTAATATTTTACTATTAACAAATAAATTTGGTCCAAAAAGTTAATCAATCAATCGATCATTTGACCGAATCCGAATCCGAGGCTGAAACCGAAGCCGAGTCGAGCGAACAACGACGGCGGTGCGAGGCTTGCCTTCTTCTCAACTCTTTAAGAGCTAAAAGAAGAGCAATTGCTTATATACCCATAAAAAAACCTATTCCTCTTCCAATATGGGACAATGTCCATTTACCAAGGGGAAAATTTAAAATTTCACTCAAAATTTTTATTTCCCTCCATTTCCCATTCACCCTTTTTTAAGTATTTAATATATTAATTAAATACATAAAAAACACAACAATCCCCCACGTGAATGAGGAATGGTTATATCACGGAAGTATTCATGAAAAACTGTGTGATTCGCAAGTAAGGATTAATTGCATCTAGATAAGTAGGTTTCCCTTTGAACTTTTCGTAGTGAACTTATGTCGGATATACTCGATCAATCGGTAGATTTGATATCTTTGAACCGTCGAACTTTGGTGTATACCTAGACAACTACAAGTCACACAACCAACCCTTAACCGTCTTTGGTTCTCATTGTTGTGTTCGTTTCAGCCATGAACACCGCCCGATTTCATAAGTCCATAGAGAATTGACCTTACAAAGTTCTCCTTGAAGTGGCTAACACTTCATATTTACATAGGTGATTCCTAAACGTGTCATCCCCTAGATACACTATTTGATATACCCCGTATCAAAACTAGAAATCATTAAAAAGCCTTAATGTTTTATCCTTGGTACTAAACATTGTCTCATCACAAGAATGGACCAAAAGTTTAGTTGACAATGTTGAACCGTCATTAATGACTTTGTTTGATCTGCTTGAACCTAGATCTTGGGATCTCCAGTCTTCTAGGTAGAGTTACCGCCACTATGACTTGTTCTCGGCCATAGTCTCATTCCCCTTGATCAACTACCTCTCTAGTTAGGCCTTTTGTAAGTGGATCCGACACATTATCACTTGACTTTACATAGTCAATCGTGATAATTCCTCTAGAGAGTAATTGTCTAACGGTTTTATGTCTTCGTCGTATATGACGAGATTTAATATTATACATAACGCTCCCAGCCCTTCCAATTACCGCTTGACTATCGAATGTATGCATATTGGTGCCAACGGTTTGGGCCAAAATGGAATGTCTTCCAAGAAATTCCGGAGCCATTCAGCTTCTTCACCGGCTTTATCCAAGGCTATGAACTCAGCCTCCATTGTAGAGCAGGCAATACAAGTTTGTTTGGATGACTTCCAAGATACCGCTCCTCTACCAATAAAGAATACATATCCACTTGTGGACTTAAAATTAGTTGAACCGGTGATCCAATTTGCATCACAGTATCTCTCTATCACTGCAGGATATTTACTGTAGTGCAAAGCAAAGCCCTGGGTATGTTCTAAATATCCCAAAACTCGTTTCATTGTCATCCAATAAGATTGGCCTGGATTGCTCGTATATCGACTCAATTTACTTATAGCACAAGCTATTTCTAGTTGTGTACAATTCATGATCTACATTAAGCAACCTAACACACGAGCATAATCCAATTGTGATATACTTTGTCCTTTGTTCTTTGATAATACAAGATTCACATCAATTGGAGTCTTTGCAACTTTAAAGCCCAAGTGCTTGAATTTTTCAAGTATTGTCTTAATATAATGAGATTGTGACATTGCCAGACTTTGAGAAGTCTTATTGATATTAATTCCCAGAATTAAATCAGCAACTCCCAAGTCTTTCATATCAAACTTGCTAGTTAGCATACGCTTAGTAGCATTTATATTAGCAGTGACATTACTCATTATGAGCATATCATCCACATATAAGCAAACAATGACTATGTTATTTGGAACATTTTTAATGTACACACATTTATCACATTCATTTATCTTAAATCCATTTGATAACATTGTTTGGTCAAATTTTGCATGCCATTGTTTGGGTTCTTGTTTTAATCTATAAAGGGACTTAACAAGTCTATAAACCTTCTCTTCTTTACCTGGAACCACAAACCCTTTAGGTTGTTCCATGTAGATTTCTTCCTCCAACTCTCCATTTAAGAAGGCCGTATTTACATCCATTTGATGAATTTCAAGACCATAAACTGCAGCTAACGCTACTAACGTTCGTATAGACATAATTCTTGTAACTGGAGAGCATGTATCAAAGTAGTCAAGACTTTCTCATTGTCTATACCTTTTGACCACAAGTATAGCCTTATA